ACTCCTACATCATTTTCCTACATCTGAAAACATTAAGCTAATTTCAACATAACAAATATATAAACTAGTCAGGTTAAGGCAAAATAAAGCAAGACAAGAGTGATCAAGTTTAGAACTACTGTATATTAATACTAATTTCATCATCATATTTCTTACAAAGCACAAATTGAAAATTGAGAAAATTGAATTAGATAAGAGTCCTGATTTAAAGGCCCCATGTTAAATTTGCTTTCAAATATTTACTTTTCATGACTTTTCATGGGATTCTGAGAACTAAAATTTTAAAATGCGTTTTTCTGCTCCACTTTTCAGCGCTTATTTTTCAAAAATTTTCTTAATTTTTCAAACAGAAAATAGGTCAGGATGTCTGTTATGCATGAATGTAAATTATTACTTAACAATGTATGTACATGACAACCAAAATTTTATTAAAGATAAATTTTTCATCAAGAAGTCCTTCAAAACCAACTTCTTGAATTTGAAAATGTTCACATAGTGCATTTTGGTAGCATTAGGTAGAAGAACTCTATAAATAAACTAAAGTGATCTAAACTTTATATTGGGCCCTCCGCGTTACCCTTCTAATCGAGGGGGAAGTGTTTATGTTATTTGTAATCAGTGTAGACACTAAGGGGCTGAAACCTTCTGGTCAAAATGATATTACGGACCAGTTGCAATGTTATTTTCCTATACCTAGTTAAAAAATCAACTGGTCCGTATCAAAAGTAACCAGATAATGACCAGTGGACCGGCTGTTAATGACAACACTGTTTGTAATGTGTTATTATTGAAATCACCAAGCATTTTGTTAATTATTAATTTGGTGACAAGCATATTGTACCCTTATACATTTATTGCACATATCACCCGGATACTGTATACATATGATATATTGATGATCATGATTGAAGTGAACAGGCCTTGATTGTAAAGATAAATAATTTTGAAAATGCTACTCTGTGTCTTTGTTTTGAGAGAGAGATACATCCCCTTTTAATGTCAAAACACTGCTTCCCCTTCTACCCTACATCCCCTTCTACCCTACATCCCCTTCTACCCTACATCCCCTTCTACCCTACATCCCCTTCTACCCTACATCCCCTTCTACCCTATATCCCCTTCTACCCTACATCCCCTTCTACCCTACATCCCCTTCTACCCTACATCCCCTTCTACCCTACATCCCCTTCTACCCAACATCCCCTTCTACCCTACATCCCCTTCTACCCTACATCCCCTTCTACCCTACATCCCCTTCTACCCTACATCCTCTTCTACCCTACATCCCCTTCTACCCTACATCCCCTTCTACCCTACATCCCCTTCTACCCTACATCCCCTTCTACCCTACATCCCCTTCTACCCTATATCCCCTTCTACCCTACATCCCCTTCTACCCTACATCCCCTTCTACCCTACATCCCCTTCTACCCTACATCCCCTTCTACCCTACATCCCCTTCTATCCTACATCCCCTTCTACCCTACATCCCCTTCTACCCTACATTCCCTTCTACCCTACATCCCCTTCTACCCAACATCCCCTTCTACCCTACATCCCCTTCTACCCTACATCCCCTTCTACCCTACATCCCCTTCTACCCTACATCCCCTTCTACCCTACATCCCCTTCTACCCTACATTCCCTTCTACCCTACAACTCATTCTACCCTACATCCCCTTCTACCCTACATCCCCTTCTACCCAACATCCCCTTCTACCCTACATCCCCTTCTACCCTACATCCCCTTCTACCCTACATCCCCTTCTACCCTACATCTCCTTCTACCCTACATCCCCTTCTACCCTACTTCCCCTTCTACCCTACATCCCCTTCTACCCTACATCCCCTTCTACCCTACATCCCCATGGAGTTAGTTGAATGACTACCCTTGGACTATAATAGACAATGTTATAGTTGTGATGCTAATAAGATCTAAATGACTCCAAAAGAAACTGCCATGACTTATCATTGGGAGATTGAATATGAAATAAATTTCAGCTACTTATGAAGGTTTAAATTCTGTGAATGCAATTCTGATTGGATAGCTGAGTTTTGATCAACCTAATCTGATTGGATAAGGTTAGATCAAAGGGAATGTGAGATGCTCTTTTTATTCAAGAAGTAAAATCAGACTATTGAAAAGGGTATTTTCAATTAGAAATTCCTTCGTACCTACAATTAAGAAAAGATGAGAAATGCTCTTAGAAAAAAGCATTTAATTATCAATACTACCCTTGACAAGTGTCCAATGTTGCTTGCACTCTTAAATTAAAAAGGAAAATTCTTGACATATCCAAAGAACATTTGAGATGGATAAGATAAGATCAGCAAAATAACTAAAATCATTGGTGATAGTCAGAGTTTGTAGGTAGCCATAGAAAATCAGGGTAATTCCATTTCTTTTTCTAAATTTTGAGTGCGTCCCACTTGAGTGAATGATGTTGCAGGAAAGAAGTGGTTCAAGATAGCAGAATGTAAACATAAAGTTACTTGAGAACTCATTAAGGTTATTAGGAACAAGTTCAAATGATTGGCTCAACATGGTTTTAATTGGAACTAAGAGGATGTCAGTGTCAGGATGTGTGTCAAACTTTTTTGCTCAAAAGTTCTGATTGCAGTTACTACTGTATTCAAATGTTAAGAGAATTATAAGTAAACTGTTGAAAAACTGAAAAACAAGTCAGATGAGAGTATTGTTAATCATCATGATGTATTTGTTTTCATTATAGCAAATCAAAGCATGGGAATATTTGACCACTCAGAAATGCAAAGTGCTTCTGTAGTTTTAGGCCAAGTGACCAGGGTAATAAAAGTGCTTCATAGAGTCCTAGAACTGTAATAATAAGATACTTATACCTAGACTAAGAATTTATATAAGTGCTGGAGATATATCAAAGGCTAACAAAATGGATGTAGATATGGATTAAACAGGATATCAGCATATGGTATGGTTGCAGATTAAAAACACTAATATTTGCAAATTAGGGAAAATGGAAATGCTTAGGAAGTATACAATAAAAGCGTATATCATTACATTGTTGTGCCTTTGTACACAAACTGTCAAAGCAGATGAATATGAGGATCACAAACCTATAAAGAGGACGACGGATCCACCAAAACCAAAGGGTGATTGGTCAATTAATAAAGGTCAAGGGCTTGGTCATGAAACTTTTGTTAATTTGGGAAAATTGGGAGAATTCTTCGATGAAGATTTTGTACCAGATATGATAGATGCATTTGATTTGGATGAATCTGATGATAGTGATAACACAACTACAACAAAACATAATGAAACTATCATCTCCCATAACTCCACGTTAACTAAACCTGACCTTAATGTAACACAACATGACCTTGACCCTTGGGATTGGATCGATGATATTTTAGAAAATGTAGATTTTGATGGATGGCTATCAGATTTCTGCAAGTCTCAGAATGGACAGGATGAGGGGCTTAGCAATAGAACGTACCCAAGTTGGGCAACAGAATTTAATTGTGAAGGTAATTCCAAACATTACTAAAGTTCTCCATGAAAACATTCTGATGTTAGCATGAATGGCATATTTATGATTCCCAGCCCTCTGAAGTTTGAAAAATAACAATACCTTGATTGGTGTTAATCCATGGTCAATCTAATAATTGAAAATGAGAAATAATTTTTTGGATTAAATGGTGTAATCTTAAAGTCAATAAAACATTTTAAATTGATGCAATTTTTGCAATTACCTACAATCCAGTAATACTATTTGCTTTAGTATTCTCTGTATTAAATGTTTGACTGTTTTTTGATAATTTGTTCAAAATGGTTGAATTTATTTTCCTAGAATAAGGTAATAAATTAATATGTTTTCAACAAAAATTGTTAAACAAAAATTATATTTTGTAAAAATCCAAAAATGTCTAAAACCATGTGTTCTATCTTATGTAATCCCAGAGGATATATTCAGATATATGTCAGTGTTTTATGTGGTCTCTGAGAAGGGAAATTCCTGATATGCAACAATTAGAGAAAGATTTGAGAAGCAATATATAAAAACATTATTTTATATTAAGATATCACATATGATCAATTAGAATAGGGAAAGGACTGGGAATTTTATTATTTAGGATTTAAGGGGTTGTAAAGGTTAAATATACATGTATGATTATGTAGGAATAAGAATGGTATATTTAAGAAGGTTTTAAAATAAGTATCACAGAGATTCCCCAAAAAGTCTTTGGATGATTCGGGTTACACTAGTAAAACAAACAAGACGAAGCAAACTTCCATGATTCCATCAAAACCCTGATGTTAATGCAATACCAAATGACCTTGATAGATGATTCTGCAAATGTCAGAGTGGAATTGATATGATATTGCTAATAATATAAGACTTATCCTGGATGGGCAATAAAATTTAATAATTTGGGTTGTTAAGGTAATTGGCTGATTGTAGTAATTCTCATCAGGTCTTAATGTTGATTGAAAAGTACATTAAACCCTGTTCAATATGTATGTAAATGTGACTGGCCAAAAGTGTTCACATTGAAAGGTTTTGTTACATGGAAGTGTATGGCAGATTGAAAAAAGTGAATAAGCATTTACATTCATCCTCCGATCACAGGGCTTCAAAATCAGAATATATTCTTTCTTTTTACCCCCTGCGACAAGCAGTTAGCATTTCCCCGATTAAGAACTCGCAATCTGATTGGCTGTCGCAACACTGCGACAGAAATCATGTATAAGTCATTGCGGATAATTCGATAACGTGATTCAGTTTATTGGTGATAGCAGGGGGGAGAAGGAGGTACGGATTCTGGACACCTGCTTAGGAGGATGATTTACATTGGGAGGTGTTCAAATTGTTACTTATGGAATGGTAGACAAAATATGATCAGCACATTCAAAAGATAAAATTACAGGATGCATTTACACAGTTTAATATCTTTATTTTTTATTTGACAAGTTCAAATTTTTCAGAGCAAAACATTTCATGGTTTATTTTATGTATTTCCAGGCAATGCAGAGAGTATTATGGATACTTTGGCCAACATCTCTAAACAAGCGCCAGATTTCAATCACCAGGACATCAGCTACACAGTTGCAGTAAGACCCTTTGCATACATTACATCTATTTTTACTTAATTGTGAAACTTGTTCACAAACCATCATTATCAGTTTTGGAATCTATTCGAGATTTTGCCAGATTTCCAGATGACATTTTTTCAAATATAGACCCAATAACGTAATTTTTGACAGTCCAGTAAATGTCTTAACAAACAGAATTCAATTTTGTAACCATTTGCAGAGGTTGACATTTTGTCATGTTAATGATTGTTTAAGATTTGTTAAATTCTTAAAAAGATTTCTTCTTACATTTAAATCCCATATTTTATGATATCTTTTTAGGTACTTGAGAATATGGTAGATAGTAGTCTTTCTGGCATCACTGTGGCGGTCGTGTCAGATTGTGCCTCCGTGATCAGCGATCTTCTCAACTCTAACCCTGACGATCTAATCACATCTCAACGTAATACACAATCGCTGCGTAGACTTGTCCAATCTGTCGATACATTCCTTGAGGAGATTCCGGGGATGGCAACAATCGTGCAGCCAAACTTTGGCCTGGCTGTGAATGACGTCAACCCCACAATGTTCAGGGGAGCCGTGTTTCAGACGACTCGGCAACCGTCTACAAATGAAAGATTAAGTGAGAGCAAGGTAAGTGTGGATGAATTTTCCAATTAAAGACACTCAGGTTCATAAGAGTATAAGAGTGCAATTGACTTTCACCTAAATTAGTTGTGAAATTCAGTGTCCACATGAATAAAATTCAAAATGTTAGCATGTGGCTCTTTTAAAGAATGTTCAATTTTAGATTGGTCAATGTGCAAAAATCGAAACAGAGGAATTTTTGTCTCCAATATTTATTGTGGATGGTGTTTGGTAGTTGGAGTTTGGCATTTGGCGGTTGGTGTCTGTAACAAATAGCAGGTGGTGACATTTTGCATGTAAATGCCCTGGTATTTACTAATGGTAATATTAGGCTTAACTATAATGATTATAGGAAGGATGAAACAAATTCTCAGAAATGTTAATATGATGAGTGAAATCAAAGAAGGATGAATGTAACAAATCGATATTGAGGAAAATTGTTCATATCCGGTTTATTATTACAAGGATTATATTGGAGACCCTCTATGAATTTTTTTTCTGTCTTCACATTTCCATGGTAACCATACAAAAGTGATTGAGTAACAGAGTAACAGACCATACAAAAGTGGTTGAGTAATAGTGCTAATGAGTTAATCTGATATGCCTGCCTATTAAGTTTCCATGTTTGTCCCATAGAATTTGAAAAGAAGGAGGTGGCAATGTACAGAGTGTTCAATAAGTATTGCTAAAAAAATGCTGTAACTTTTTAAATCTTTCATATTTCTGACTAACTTGTACAAGTACAAGGATCATATTGGAGACCTTATATGAATTGTTTCTACTGTCTTCACATTTCCATGGTAACCATACAAAAGTGATGGAGTAACAGTGCTAATGAGTTAATCTGAGATGCCTGCATATCAAGCTTTCATGGTTGTCCCTTAGAATTTGAAAAGAGGTGGCAATGTATAATACTCAATGCATTAGTCTAGTCTTATTGCGTTTCAGGTGAAAGTGAACTTTAATGGAACAAGTGGTACAAGCCCTGATCAAGAGGCAGATATTTCATTGACACTTCCCAAGTCTATCTTCACTGATCTAAACAATACAGTACCTTCTAGAAATCAGAAGATAAAGTTTGTGGTCTACCAATCTGATAAATTCTTCAGTGTAAGTATATTATTAGATAATTTGATCATAGTGTGATAATAATCAGGATGCCTGTAACGAAGTGACATCTTTTATTTTTGAAGACAAGGAAACACATGTAGATGCTGCAATTCTGCATTGAAAAAAAATAATTGCTACGATATATTCTAATTTTCCTAAAAGGATACTTCAACATTTATTTCATTATCTCCTTAAGGAGACATCAGTATTTATTACCACTGTCTCCCTTAGGATCAACATATATCCAATTGTCTCCAAACATCAACAAATGTTCCATTGTCTCCTTAAGCATCTACAAATATTCCATTGTCTCCCTAAGCATCAACACTTACACAAGTGTTGATCTCCCTGACGAGAAATCAACAAATTTCTCATTGCGTGAATTTTAGGCCCAGCAGGTTGCAAGGTTCAACAGAAGTGATGTTGAGGCTCGACCAATCACAGATGATGCTGTAACCATGACAACACAGGGAACTACAAGGTCGTATTCCTTCATCAACAGTCGTGTCGTGGCAGCAAGTATTGGCAAACTTCAAATCAAAAACCTTGTAGAACCAGTAGTGGCCTCTTTTAAACACATTGAAGAGGTAAATACAATTATATTTCTAAAGCTAGTATAGCTTCAGTGTTGAAATTATTTATTGAGGCAGAGTTATAAAATGTCTACATCAGACTCCCATTTGCGGGCCCATTTGTTGAGATACATGCTTGGAATGGAGTTATATCGCAGTTTGTAGTTTAAATAATATTTGATAAGAACTTGATTAAGTAATTCAATTATTGTTCTTCACTGTTTGTATAATTCAGAATGATCTGCATGAAAATGATTTCAGTCCCATGACCTTAAAAAATCATGACCAATTGGGATTGAATCTTGTAATATTGAACTGAGGAGTGAACCCAAATTAATGCATTTTTGAGAATGGTACATACGACTGAATTATTTTGTTTGCAATATTTTAAAATCATGTTCTTTTACATATAGTAAACAATGCTTTATCTCAGTGGGTGCCAAATTTTACCTTTGCCTATTTTGTCAAAATAGGTCAATATTACACCCTTTTGACAGGGTGCAAGAAGATTTTTAACAGGGCCGGGATGGCATTCACTTTTCAAATTTTCAAACATTGGTGCAGCATGAAGTTGTTCTTATACTGAAGTGATCACTTAGTGGATGATTAACCAATTAAAATTAAGTTTTGCATGTTGTTTAGAAATAACATGTTTAAGTTCATGTTTTATCTCATCATTGAGAAATTAAATCAACACTCTTGAAATAAATCATGTTTATTAAAGATAGCATCATCAAGTGTTGATTTCCATTATTTAGGCCTTGTGCCTTTGAAGATTAGAATTATTTTGATTACAATAAAGTTCATAGCCATTGTTTTTTATTTCCCAGTCCTTGTACACGATTGATGGAAAAGAACAGGTATTATGTGCACATGTTTTATATATAGAACTATATTTTTTTATTTTATAACACGTCATATGAATGAGGTTCTTGTAAAATATGTATTTAAAACAAGACCCTTTAACATTTAACATTTTCTCAACACTAATCATTTTAAGGTAGTTATACACATGGTGACCTAAATATGGATAATTGTTAAAATGTACATAATTGTTATCATTATTTTATATTTTAACTCTTGACTTCCCAGAGTGACGACATTTCTCGTCACCTTAGAAATGACCATAAAACCTAGAGTAACAAAATAATCTGTCACAAAATTGTTCTTTAAAATTGCTCTAATTTGAACAATTTTCATCCAATTTACACAAAATACATCTCATATTATGTAGAAATGATCTCTGGTTACATATCAATTACAGAGCCTGGGATTCAAGAGGTTAAAATGTTCATTACTCAAATATGTTCCATAACCAATCAAAACAGGTGTCATTGATTTGTTTTCTGGATGACATTATCCCATGTTGGGCTTAGTAGATAAGGGGATTGAGAGGATGTATTATATCCCAGTGTATAACTACCTTAATTATTTTGCATGGTCGCTTATATGTGTGCTCAGCTCAGAAATACAAAGTACCACATACCTATGCATATTGGGCTATGGGTTTATACAATACAATCAGAATTTCACCTTAATCATTGTTATGTCATTGTTTTAATGTGATACAAGATCTTGAAAAGTTAGTTACTGTACACTAACTAGCCTATATTAAACATATATTTTTTCATTTATAAGTAAATAGCAATATTAACAAAATAAAGATGGCTCCATTAAATTCTTGCTTTGGCATATTGTCAGCTTAACACTATATATGCTTTTGAGCATGGCCTCATCTAATATGAACTGCATGCTGTGTGTTTTATAATTTTAATATTTTTTATAACATATTTGCAATTTGAAATTTGATGTTTGTATGTAAAACACTGATTTGGCAGTAAAATTGTATAATTTATTTTATAGCTATTGTTCATTTTCTACTGTTGGATAATATTAGGTTGTCATTATGAAAAATAAAGAATAAAATAAAGACTGTTAAATAAGAATTCCAAAAGTATACAACAGCGGATTAGATAAAAATGGACTGTAAATTGGGATATCACTTTAATGCTAGCATAAAATGTGACATCACGGTACATTAGGAGTGAGTATGGTACCGTTGGAGTATTGCGCCATACAGTGTTCACAGCACTGTATGGTATCATTTTAGTCTACAGTACCATATTTCACGGTACCATATTTCACAGTACCATTTCCAAAATGGTACCTTTGTTCCTCAATTTTGCTCACTTCTGAAGTACTTCTATCTTTTCCAAATATATAATACAAAAGATTTTAGTGAAAAACTATTCTTTCAGAAAGCAGAGACCCCAAGGTGCGTCTTCTGGGACTTTGACCTTAACGACAAGAATGGAGGGTGGTCAGAAGAGGGCTGTCGGGTACGGAGACATGTCCCTAATAACTTTACGGAATGTGAGTGTGATCATCTCACAAACTTTGCTTTACTCATGGTAAGTGATCAATTTGTGTTGTTAGTATAGTTGCATAGTAAAACATTTTGTTTATTAAAGATATATTATTCCAGTTGGCTCATGTTTAATTCTTTCCTGTAGTTTGATGTTGCCTTTTTCATCCATATTCAATGATTGGGGAAGGGGGTGTTAGATATTGTTTCTCTTTATGTTTGATTATGGTTTGGGATAGTTGGGGTTTGTTTTCCTTATAACTGGGGTACACTTCGATGTTTCTTTTTCTTCCTGGGTTCTGTAACGATTTTTGTCCTTTCATTTTGGCATTTGTGTGTACATATCCCTTGGGTTGATTATTTTGAACAGCTAGCCTTACTAAACACAATCCACCCACATTCAAAATAGAATTTGCTAAATTTCATGGTTTCATAAGTTGCCTTGTATTTATTTTGTGTTGAAACTCTCATTAAAGGCCATGACAGCTACTTTTGGTGGTCATTACATCTTAGGCGCATGGAAACTGTACATGAATTGATTTCTCTTAGTAAGAGCCTAATATGTATAAATATTAAATACTGTTTGAAAAATCTCTCATGGACTTTCCCAGGATGTGTATGGCAACATTGGGCAGCTCAGTGAGGGGAATAAAATGGCGCTGTCGATAATTTCCTACATAGGATGTGGAATATCCCTGCTGGCCCTGACAGCCACTCTTCTGACATATTTAATCTTCAAGTAAGTGTTGATTCATCTTTTTTGACAAAGTCACTTTTGAGTGTTCTTGCATCATGTGTCTTGTCTACCACCACAATGTTGTGCAGGTGTGTTTGTTTGGGGTGGTGCTTAACGATACACAAGGGCTTGGTGTGAAGCTATCCTTTGTGGAAGGGCTTGTATGCCAATGAATAAAATGTCTAGCGGGGTGTGCGTATCCAAAATAAGAACCATATGTCCATATTATCAAATGAGAAAATATGCGAAAGAAACTATTGTTCCACTAAAAGATGTCACTTTAGTCTAACTGCCATGGGAAAGAAATTTGATTCTTGCACTGCATTACAGATTTCATTGACAAGAAAATATACTGTGTACAGTAAGCGTATGGATTTAATATGAATTTACCCTCTGGTAATACAAAAATCAAAAAATAATTTCTAATTTTTTGAGTGCCTTGATTTTGTTAAAAACATCATTTCAGAAAAAGTACAAACAACAAAGGAATAAATCATTTGATATCCTTTACAGCAACGCCTTCGAACAACCCACACTAAATACCATTACCTGCTTTCTCAATTACATTAGATGGCTTGCGGGTAAATAAAAATTTGAAGAGGCAGTTATGTTCTAATATGAAAACCAAATAATTAGTAAAGAGTGTAATTAGAGACATAACTCAATCATCAGTAATTTCATTTGAATTATTTTTAACTTAAAAACAGCTCATAGTGGGTTTAATTTTTCAGATGATAAGTTTTGTTGGTTTAAGTTATGAGGAAATAAAACGGATATATACCGATGTTTATCTTTTGCTTCAGGATGCGGATCTGTATTATTTCAGATCGACTTGTTATTTCTTTTTTAACTTACCTTTAAATAGCCTAAAGTGCAAAGCATGTCAATGGTAATTATTAATACTGTTACGCTGTAACGTACTTGTCTCCAAGACCCAGAAACCTTCTGAAAAATAGACATGAATGAAGAATCATGAAATTCAATCATATTGCATTGTATTGTATTACTATGACAATATCATAAATGACAATTGAATCGTCAATCATGACACTAAAAATCATCCCCTAGTATATTTGATTTTGAAGTTGATTTTTGGTGAGATGAAAAAGTGCATATAACATTTTCAATCCACAATCTAAACATGGCTTTTAAAGCTGCAGGCCTGTCAACTGTCCCGCAATTTGCGTATTTGTCACGCATTTGCTGAAGAATTTGAAGTCACGCCAGTTTTTTTTGCGTGACAGAAAATGTCACGCAAATACGCATTTTACCTGGTAATTGTCACGCAAAAATATTTCTGAAGAAAATTTTTCAAAATATGTTGACGATACGGTAAAAATACGAACGTCGGAAAAAACCGAACGCAATTTGTTCGGATTTGTCATGCGAATCCCGTATGTGTCACGCGAAAAATTGAGGTGTCCAAAATTTGATTAAATGCAATAAAATTGAAAACAAGGTGCTCAAATTGTGGCCAAGATGTTCAGATTTGGACCAAGGTGTCCAAAATTTGAACAAAGGTGTTCAACATTTGCAAGTCACTCATGTTAGGTGTCCCCAAGTTGACAGGCCTGAAGCTGTAACAGGTCACTTTTGAAAACAGGTACAACTATAACCAACCTTTGAAAACAGGTACAACTATAACCAGCTAGCAATGCACCAAAGATATTTTTTCACAATTTTATTGTCTCCATCTTATAATGTTCCTTTAAGTATTGATTTGGGAGAATTATGTAACAGAAAAATTCATAAACTCTGGGTGTGGGCTTTTGCTGTAAGGTTGTTGTGACTGGTTCTGGCAATACACTGCCCTGCACCTTGGGACCTAAACAGCAGTTCATGTCATCACCAATGGCTACAGGAAGTATTCAATTTTTTGACTAACTAAATGACCCTGATGGACAGTGCTATGGGTTCCATATTGAAAGATATGAACCATTTTCTGTTGTTAATGATATAAACTGGATCTAGACACCTGACAAGTGTAGCCAACACTTAAAATTTAAAATACCAGATATGCCTGAAAATGGTATTAAAGAGATTGCGCATTATAAAGAAATGCAGTGAGTATCAAGATTTATTTCAAATTGTTGTATTTATGTACATTGGGAGGTTCACTCAAAGGGACAACCCTCAAATTTGGAAGAGGCGTGCTGATGGAATTGGCTTTAAGGCTCAAGGGTCATGTCTTCTCACTTTGGGGGACAGTCTGGTAGGTCGACCACAAGTCTTTACCATCTGGATTCAGAACAGTTGTCACCTGTTATTTGAATATGGAGGTCATTTTTTTAATAGCAGTTGGAACGTTAAGCCATCCAAAGAGGCCTATATCTACTTCATTGGTTCCGTGTAACAACCAGGGAATTGATAACATTTGTATAAAATCACACTTAAAACTGTTAGTTAGAAAATAAATTATTTCAAGTGTGACTGATTTCAAGGTTCGTAAATCCTGTTCAAGTTAAATATTCTTCTGAAATTATTATTTAATGAATGTATTTTTTTAAATGAATGGAATCTATTTGTGTGTCACAAGATGGAGAAATGAATCATATTTTACATTATAAAGCAATTATTCTGAAAATGATCATATAGATATATATAAACTTTGATCACAGATAACTGACCAATATTAAACTAGAGGTATATGGGTGCGAAACATTTAATAATTTTAATGAGAAGATGTATGTAAGGAAGAAGCCATCTGCCTTGGGTTCATATCAGGTTAACTTTTACAAATGGGTCAAACTTTTTGTCTAATAAAAGAGATAATTTATTAATATTAAACCTAGAAGCTGAGCTATAGTAGCATTTCTTGATTTATTGCAAACGAATTGCTTCTTTATTATCTAAAATAGAAACAAAAATATTCATGTTCAAATACTGATATTCAGATACAGTATGTTTAAATGTCCAAATTTTGGCAAATAGAGAAAAGAGTGAAATCAGCAAGGAATATAGTATGTACATGAATGTAGTGTGCACCTAGAATATTGAACACCAATACCAAAAATCAGAAACTGTGTTTGCATTATACAGAGAAGTGCAATTAAACTGGCATGACTGGAGAGAAAATAGGACCCCCAAATTATGGCATACTACAATGTGTAAAACTCCATACAAATTCCTGTAGTACAGTTAGTCAAGCGTTATATTCCTTCCATTATTTTTAAATGAAATGTGGCAATTATTTCGCCAGCCATATTTGAGGCACGTGCCACCTGTTTGGCACACTCTTAATGACAATGTACTCATTCACAATGTTAAAAAGGCCTTCGACATAGCGTGCGCCTAGAGATATTATACTATTAAAATCTACCGCAAAGTAACCACATTTACAATGAATGGTGAAATCTAAGAAATAATGGAATCGAAAACAAAGGTCTAAACTTGACCGTTCATTCTTCAATTCTGTTGATTGTTACAAAATTAAATTGATTCGAGGATGAGATACTATAATTAATGCTGCCCAGTCATTTTGACCCTGCCTGCCTATTCAAAAGTAGTGATGTTACAATTAAAGCACTGAGAAGTCATGAATTTTAATTTGATTAATATTTACTTAAAGGGACAATTAGTTATTTGAATTATGATGTGTGGCGTTTATTGTTCTATTCACTATGGTAACACATGCTTAGTGTATCACCTTGGTGGCCACTGTTATTTCACACAGTATCTGTTATCAATGAACATTTTCAACTTCTGGAATTTTATTGTCATACATTACAATCTGGATTATGGTAGCCATCCGACAGTGGATTACTACATATAAAACATTTATTTATATCAAATGTCTTTTATCTTTCTACAGTAATATGCAGACTACACACTTTGTGCATCCTTGGCCAAAGAGTAATTCATTGCATTACATGATCTGCTATGAAAGCAGTGAAGGACCGATCTTGAAGGATGGCCTTTGTGTTCAATCATCTATATGTTGTCATGAGCCCTGGATGTATGCCAACATTCATTTACTGGGTCAAAAATGCATCATTACGTGCCTCTATCCCCACACAACATCCCATTACCCCCCCCCCCAACAATATACACCCTCCACACCCACCCACACCCTTTGCCTACATACAGCAATAGAATACAGTGCAAAATGGAGACAATATTTGAAAAATTACTCTACCATTTTTTTCATCATATTTGAGATGCTGGGATTCATCCTGTGGAGGAAACAGATTCTTGTACATAATTAGACTACTATACCACCTGTCAAAATAGTTGCACATGAGGGAATCTTCTCATTGCCCAATGTTAATTAATATTCAAATAATGTCAATGGGTTCCTATGAGAGGTTAAAGGACATCCAGGTGATGTACCAGAACTTCAAAGGAAACAATTCCTGAAATCTGTTTATTTTAAAATGATGGTCAGTATGTGGATATTAATTTAAGGGGTGGGTCAGTAATCATTGATGGGGTGGACAGTTGTCACCAATGAAAATAGAAATTGCAAAGTTTTTATTTGCAAACCCTTTCGAAGGTTTCGTAAAACATATAGAAAATGTTACCGGAACTTAGTGTATTGAATTTTAAGTACAAGAATGCATGAATGAAATCTTTTTTTATTGCATAAAACTATACATGTTTACTTTTTTATTAGTTTTTTACTAAATAGAAATGTAAATATTTGTTTATAATTTGTACAATATGAGTGAGTTATTTTAGGAACTACTCTGTATGTATTTAGTTGATCAGTATAAATAGCAAACAAAACTAATACTAATAAATAGATAAAAGATGTTCTTTGCAATGTGATTATTTAGTTACTCAATTAGAATATTGGGCCATTGGACACATGAGCGTAGAAAATTAAAATCTTATATTCATGTATTATTTGTAAACTTGATAATTAATTGTAATAATTTTTTTTCTTTTATCTAGAGTCATGATTTGATTTTATCTTGTATCTAAACACCAAACTAGCATTTTTTCTTTCAGTGCAAATTGTTTTTCATCAAGATTAGAAAGATTTTTAATGAAAGAGAATAATGATTTGCTGTATGCTATGATTTTTTTTCAAATGAGTTCACATATTACTTATGTATATCATCTCTGTAACTCAATATTCTTGTAACGGTTATTTACAGAAATTGCTTTTTTACTTCACAGTATTACAATTTTGTTAGAAATTCTGCGGTAAAAATATGTTTTGTTGTCTGAGCACCTGGACCATGATGGTAATTTTTTGGGGAACCACAGATATTCCTTGTAGGCTTTTTCTCTGACTCACGGATTTGCACAATATTGAAAATGTGACAAAACAGAAGCGTGCGGCTAATGTTCATTCTTAATGCTTCATCAGATATAAGCACTTATATATCTTCTGTTTTTCACTAATAAACGGTTTGTGAAATCATCACCTCTTCTTTGAAATCCCTTTGAAGGGTTACTATAGCAACACATATACCGCATAACAGTTTTTCATATTTGAGGCAATGTTTCTTTTAACTGAAAGTTGACATTTGCCCATATTGACCACATTGCCCAAACATCTGCTAGCTTGGTGAAATAAAAAATTAGCCATCTTTGTAATAAAAAATACTCATCTTTTTTATCTGTCTAATATATTAATAATCTTGGCTTGCAAACAATGACGTTTTTTCATTGAAGAATTCAGTTTGTCTATTCATCTGTCTCGTGTTCCTTGACACGTCCCTTGTTTCTGTTTTGTAATAAATTCACTAAAATCATGTAAATTGATTTTTAAAAAATAGAAAAAATACAGAATATTCATACGTTTTCATGCACGTTCAATACAAAATCTTTTTGTTGATTATATTTTTGTTTGTTTTTCTGTTTTTTAATTTATTCAATGTGGGAAGTAGTTGAATTGCTGTATTTTATTTGAGGGAAGCCCAACAGATGAAAGTCGCTCCATAACAAAGGAAAGGCTAGGGAGGTTTTAATGGCACCGTTGACCATGAAGTTAAGACAACCTTTGTAAAGCCGAATGACAACAGATTATTAGAGAATATGCCTTAAAGGACCACTTCTCTTTTTCCCTCTGAAGAAATATAGGAACAAGCTGTTCATTTTCCCCCTTTATTTCCCCCCCCCCATTTTATTGCTCTAAGGACAAAATGACCACTTTGGGTTTTGAGAAAAATGTCATGATTAATGGTCATGTTTTGAAATGCAAAATGAAGTGAAAAAGAGTGGAACCCCAAGGAATAAAGTAAACAGACATACAACCAACACTCTAAATTGTAAAGAAATATTAGAAAAATCATACACTTCATACTTTTCGAGAGAATAAAGCTGAATTTGCAGAATGAGGAAATGTTGGCTGGTAGAACGATATCTGTCCAACAGATAGCGTTTGATAAGCAGAATAACACATACACCTGTCACATAGCTGAAGATACCGTTAGTTATCTATAAAAAAGATGCATTTAAGCGCTTATGTCCTCTGCTAAATAGGACATGCTTCACATTGAAGATTTTTTCTTTCATTTCAATACAATTTGGAATTCTGATTTTTTTTTATTTCTCATTTTATGTGAGTTTACCATGATAAGTTTATTTTATTGATTGATTCCAATTTTAGTACATATTGTCCTTTGATAAAGTTGTATTATGAATGTATCAAACTGTACACATTAACAATTGTTAGGTTAATTGCTACAAATTATTAAATTGAATCCTGCTTTTTACCCTCTTCAAAAAATATTAATAGTTTTTTAATGGCAAATATCCATTAACAAATACAACCTTTTGCATAGCCCCATAAGATCACTAATCACTAATTCCCATTATTTACACGGATGGACTACCTTATTTACTATTTTCTTATGCTTTTCAATAGCCTGTATGTCATAATGTGTTCTTGATAAAACATTAAATTCAGCTTTAGGCATCTTTTTCAATTATGTTTAAAGAGAAAAATGTGACACAAATCAAATGGATTTAATCTGAAGAATATAATGAGGCATTTTAATGAAATGAACACTCAATCTCACCTTGGTAAATCTACTTTCTTGACACTAATACAATTTAGAGTAAACCTTCAAATTTGGATGCCAAAATAGCCTATATGTGTTTTACAAATTATGAAATTATAATAAAAAACAAGAGCAGTCTCCTCTTCAAAATATTGTTTCTCCCTCAGGAGTGTATATTTGCTACTTCCAAAGACTGCAACCTGGTATATGGGAAGGGATTGTCAAAATCTGTTGTTTGTGTCTTTCCTCTCGTAATTTCAATATCCACCCCTGTGCAGTGTAAAAAATCAAAGTACTTAATTTCAAAATAACATGATTATAATACAAATCTATGCATTGTTTTGATTTTATTTCCAGAAAGCTGAGGAAAGACAATCCTTCTAAGATTTTGATAAATCTTTGTGCTGCTCTGTTCACTGCAGTCCTACTGTTTGTCATTGGATCAATTGTCACACAAACTGGCATTGGTTGTCAGGTAGGTCGTCACAACATTTATTCTTAACATTGGTAGTCAGGTAGATTGTCATAACATTCATTGTATGCATTGGTTGTCAGGTAGGTCGTCACAACATTTATTCTTAACATTGGTAGTCAGGTAGATAGTCATAACATTCATTGCATGCATTGGTTGCCAGGTAGGTTGTAACAACATTTATTCTTAAAATTGGTAGTCAGGTAGATTGTCATAACATTCATTGTATGCATTGGTTGTCAGGTAGGTTGTGACAACATTTATTCTTAAAATTGGTAGTCAGGTAGATAGTCATAACATTCATTGTATGCATTGGTTGTCAGGTAGGTTGTGACAACATTTATTCTTAAAATTGGTAGTCAGGTAGATAGTCATAACATGTATTGTATGCATTGGTTGTCAGGTAGGTTGTGACAACATTTATTCTTAAAATTGGTAGTCAGGTAGATAGTCATAACATTCATTGTATGCATTGGTTGTCAGGTAGGTTGTGCCAACATTTATTCTTAGAATTGGTAGTCAGGTAGATTGTCATAACATTCATTGTATGCATTGGTTGTCAGGTAGGTTGTGACAACATTTATTCTTAACATTGGTAGTCAGGTAGATTGTCATAACATTCATTGTATGCATTGGTTGTCAGGTAGGTTGTGACAACATTTATTCTTAACATTGGTAGTCAGGTAGATAGTCATAACATTCATTGTATGCATTGGTTGTCAGGTAGGTTGTGACAACATTTATTCTTAACATTGGTAGTCAGGTAGATTGTCATAACATTCATTGTATGCATTGGTTGTTTGGTAGGTTGTCACAACATTCAACAGTAATATTGGTTGTCAAGTAGGTTGTCACAACATTTATTCTTAACATTGTTTGTCAGGTATGTTATCCAACATTTATTCTTAACATTGGTTGTCAGGTTGGTCATCACAACATTTATTCTTAACATTGATTGTCAGGTAGGTTGTCCCAATTTTCATCATAAATTTTGGTTGTCAGGAAGGTTGTCACAACTTCCACTTCAGGAAAAGTTTTTAAAAAAATTATTTGAAAAAATTGTTACATTGTACATTCTTCAGTGTATTGTTTTTTTTTGATCTTTGCATTGTATGCTTGACATTGATGCATTGTATTTTCCAGGTAGTAGCTGTGCTATTGCATTATTTCCTACTAGCTACATTCACGTGGATGGCAGTGGAGGCATTTTACATGTACCTAGCCCTGGTCAAAGTTTTCCAAACTTACTATTCCAAGTTTATACTAAAGTGTTGCGCAGTTGGTTGGGGTAAGCATGATGAACTGAAATACATTGATTCTGTTATTACACTCTCCAACAATTAATTTGTCCCTCATTGGTTCTGTCAAGATGAAACCTTGAAAGATGATTTAATTTCATGAAATAGAATTTTACGGAATTCATAATACAAAATGATAGAGATTGTACCAATATAATGGGATATCTACCAATACAATGGGAGTTTGTGCCAATAAAATGGAAATATTACTTTTAGGTGTACATGCATAAACTAAAACTATCACACAGTAATAAGCTTCTTCATTTGTTTAAAGTGTGAACTACATGTAATTTATAATAATTCATTATTTTATTTTTATTAGGTGTTCCCTTAGTACCTATAATAGTGACTTTAAGCATCTCCCCTGGGCACTATGGACTTCACAATGGCATGTAAGTATATGCATCTAGGGTCCCCATTTTCCAAGCCCATTACCAAGAGTAATTTCTTTTGATTGCTATTGAGAATGAGGCAACTGCTATTTTTGAAAGCAGAGTATATATAATGTGTACATAATCTACCAAGTGTACTACTGTACAACATTTTGTTAAAAATTGGAATAAAAATATTTTCACAATGCATCTATGATTTGTGAATTTCCAGATTGAGAATGCACCTTTGAATATCATGTATAATACCCCATATTGGTCTGAAATGCACCCATGTTAAAATGTCTTATCCAGCAATGCATCCAAGAACTGAAAAAAATATGTACATATATTATTGTATGTTTGTTGCAGATATATTATTGTATGTTGACATATTATTGTATGTTTGTTGCAGATATATTATTGTATGTTGACATATTATTGTATGTTTGTTGCAGATATATTATTGTATGTTGACATATTATTGTATGTTTGTTTCAGATGTTGGCTTGACAGACTGCCATTCTATTGTGCATTCCTGGCCCCTGTTGGCATTATCCTGATCATTAACCTGATCGCCTTCGTGCTTGTCATCCATCAACTTATGGGATACTCCGCTAAAAAACTGAACAAAACAGAACGCAGCAACACAGCAATTCGTTTACGAGGGGCAATTAGTATCGTTGTTCTGCTTGGCTTGACCTGGTTATTTGCATTATTCTCGATAGGTGGAGCCAATATAGTGTTCAGTTACCTGTTCGCAGTTTTTAACTCGCTCCAGGGCTTATTCATCTTTGTCTTTTACTGTGTGCTGAAGCGTGATGTACAAATGGCCTGGCTGAGGTGTTGTTGTAAAGACCGTGTCTTAGAGTCCACTTCCAAATCACATTCTACAGCTAGCAAAGGTTAGTATCTTACATCAGATGTCACATCAGTTATGTCACATCAGATGTCACCTCATTTATTTCATATCAGGTGTCACATGTAGCATCATATGTCACATCATATATGTCAAACCTGATGTCACACTATTTATGTCACATCAGATGTCATACAGATGTTTTTTGTGATCAACATTCAGCATCACTGTTTGGTGATTGTCACACTAAAGTAACCATTTGTAACAAGTAATATGACAATTAACATACATCATGTGAGTTCATATATGTCACATTATGTCATCTGATATCTGCCATGTCAAATCAGTAATGTCACATCAGTTATGTCATCTTAGTAATAATTCAAGCTTTAAAAGAGACGGTTATATGAAAACTCATGAAGTTTCAAATCATGATTTGGGGTGTGGATAAAATATTTCTTAGTGTACACAAATTTTGAAAAGGAAGATTCTCTTTATTTGAAAAAAACAATAAGTGGTCAACTCCATTTTAAAATGTAATTAAGTATTTAGTTTAGTTTAAAATCTGAAATATTTACAAGGATCACGTGCCTTGATGATGGATATAATAATAAACAATTTTATTCTCTGTAAGTGCTACTAAAGGGCTTCGGGTTAAATCCACAAGTTCTCCTTTTTCGATCATTAAGACAATGATCATGTTGTTTGTTTCTTTAAATATACTATCTTATTTGATTCAGTGAAAAATGATTCCTTAATGGCATAACTGGAGCCTGTTTTAGTCTGTTGCCAGGAGGTATACTGTGTTCTTAAAATCTGTTCGATATACAGAATGGGGAAATCTGCATGAATCAGCCAAATTTAGATTTTTCAGTGATTGTCTGTGTCCCTTATATTGTCATCAAAAATAATATTTCGAAATAGTTTTTATAACTGGTCATCTTATCTTTTGAATAGACTGTTATTCGCTTTTTTATGTGCCTTTTACTCTGGATGATAGCCAGAATCAGTACACTTGCGATATTGTTGTTTACATTGTAATGTCATTTTGGTTGCTATTGTCTTCATAAAATTGAAACGTAGCATTCGAATTTGTTGCATTTCTAACAATTTGTTGTTGCAGGTCAAACCTCCTCAACTCCTCTCACAAAGGCAAGGTTCAAAGCAGAGTTTGACAATAAAAATGGTAGAAAATATGGTAAGTGCATCTTTCACTTTTTGATTCATTTTCATATATCTGAGCCATGTAAAATAACCGCAAACACGTGTCCCCTGTTTATTCTGTGTGTCTAAATCCATCAGGAGTAATGTGTCATTACAACCCCAATCCACACTATGAAATCAAAGTACTTTTTGGTACATTACAAGTATGGCGTACTGCACAGTGTCATTTGAGTATTACAGTTCTGTACGGTACTGTTTTAATTACAGTACCATATAGTTCCATATAGCTTCACAGTACTGTGCAGTACTGTAGCCAAAAAGGTACCATACAGTATTATTGGAGACTGGCTTTACTGTAGGTTCCTATGGCAATTAAGGATTATGACAGTCAATCTAATGACTTTCCATGAATGTTCAAGTCTGTATTTGTTTGTCAAGCTCATCCAAAATGTCAAACATTATTTACCTGTCTTAGACTTTTTGGATCATCCCATCAAATAGCTTCAAGGACACATCTTAAGGACATATGGCTGGAAAAAATATCGTATGATATGTCCTAATGCATATCTAAGTACTGTATGGGACTTGCTACAGTCGCCTTAAATTATGTTGTTATTTTGTGAAACAATAAGGGTCTAATACTGCATACAATATATGTATTCTTACCTCATAATTGAAAGCATATTTCAAATCGAAGACTTAATTGCTATATTGTTTTGTTGAAGAAAACCAGGGGAAATAATAATAAATATCTATTTGTGGTTTCTTGGTATGTTGTTGATACAAGGTGTGCCAAAAGGCATCAGCAGTATTCAATGTTTATTTTAATCAAAGAGAAGCCATCAGTCAGATTTGGCAATTTCTGTTTTAGAGAAAATCCCGGAGTGTGAAGTTTGCAGAGAAACAAGGTTACTGAGTAAATGTCCGCTTTAGGTGTTGGCTAGCTGTAGATGTTTTATATGCATTATAGGGGTTTCTTCATGATTGTCTAACATGAAATTTGCAAAATATCTGTGGTGATTTCTTGTTTACTATTTTTTACTATTTGTTGTGTGTAGTATTGTTAAAACAATTATGATGTATTTTATATTTGTATGTGATTTGTTGTATCCATGGCAACAACATTTGTATAATTGTACCATTGGTGCACTAACAGCAGTTAATTGTGGAATAGGTGTTGTAACATTACAGTTGTGGCACCTTATTGTAATCATTATTGTAACAATTTATTGTATTGTAACAATAGCTTCTTAATGGGTATTGTAATATCAGCTATATTTCTGATTAATCAGGTCAAAATTATATTGTACAAAAAATGGAAACGTATCCCTAAAAAGGTATGGTTTTGTTCTCAGCTTGGATGGGTGGTTGCTGGGTGATGGGGGCTCACTTTCCTGTCTGTGCATTTCCAGACAATCTACTTGATGGGTTGATTAAAAAATTCAGGGGTGTTTCCTGTGGTGAAAATCTAGAAATGATCAGTGTTTGGGCATGCTGGGTAATTTATTGATTTTAGGTACGATATTACCTGATGTTTGCAATGTTCAGGTTGATTTTGATAATGGTTATTGTGAAAAAACAATCATGATGTCATTACTTTTGAGGGTCATGTGTGTTGATTATATTTTAAAAATGGGTTAATCTCTTGACTACCCAGAGTGACAAGATTTTTTCGTCAGCATAGAGATAACCTTGAAAGCTTGAGCTTGAGATAATCTGTCACACAATTTATCACTAAAATTGTATCACCTGTTATATATGTACTCATATGTAGTAAAATGTCAAAAGTTGGCAAAAATGAAAAATCCTCTGTTTTCAAACCGATTTTAGATCCTGGGATTCAAGAGGTTAATGCCAAGATATAAAAAAATTACTTTAGGGGTGATATTCTACAGAGTGTACATATACATGATAAAATATGTTAACATGGGTATTTGTTTGAATATCTCAAAATATATCGATATTATATTTCAGTATAGTACCTTATTGTATATTTATTAATTTTTTGTTTCAGTGTCTCAAAGTATATGTATGGCTACTTGTAAATGTTTATACATTCCTATTTATGTAATAACCAAAAATACATTTTTTAATGTTTCAGTATCTAAGGGTCATTCAAACCACAGTGGAGATGTCAATCACAGTACCTCTACAGAGGTGACTCGTATATAGAAGTGACCCACATATAGAGGTGACCCGAATATAGAGGTGACCCGAATATAGAGGTGACCTGCATATAAAGGTGATCCGCCTCTAGAGGTGACTCGTATATAGAGGAGACCCACATATAGAGGTGACCCGAATATAGTGGTAGACACAGCATCAGTGAAATCACCACATAAACTAAACTATTGAACACCATACATGTGCCACCATGTACACCAATTGTCCTAAAAATCAGGCAAAAAAGAGAAAATGCAATTGCAAAGGACAATAACAATGTGATGTATTTCATGATTAATTGAAAGGCGTAATTGATGCATTTATGTACATTGGTGATTAATGCAAAACATGAATAACTTCGGCCCCGTTACAACATCTTTTGGCCCAGTATTCTGCAGTACCCATTAGAATTGCAGCAACAAGTACACCGTCGTGTGATTTCTGGAAATTTTTTACCAAAGTGACAAATTCTGGATGACCAGGATATGAACAATGTAGAGAAAGTTATTATTGTAATTAGTATTATAAATATTGGATGCAGCGCATTCTGAACATGAACTTGTAAATAAAACACCACACAGTAAGTAATTTTAAAAAGTACAGTACAATTTGAGAAATTCCAATCCATGCGAAATGCTGGTTATAAATCAAAAATAGTTGAAATGAGCTAGATTTACATTTCAATTTCTATAGAACATCCTTATATTTGAATTGAGAATGTATCAGATAGGTAGAACATAGGGATACTTACATTTCAGAATAAAAGTTGGTCAAAATTAATACTGGCATTAAATTAGTTACTAATACAAAAATAAGACTGTTACAGTTATAGCAATGCATTAAGGTTAAATACTTAGTACCTCATTTAAATTTTTAATAAAAAAAACAAAAATGTATAGAGAATGGATGATAGGAAAGTGACACATGCATTCAGAAGGGAGTGAAGCATTTGTAAAATGAACTATTATGGAAATAAAAGTCGATTTTTAATTCTTGAGTGGATATAAAATGTATTCACAATTTATGAAGAGTTTTACTGTATAAGACAGGCATTTAATATCACAGGTTTTACTGTATACATTTTTGGAATATCCATTTTCACCTGTATGTATACATACCTGGTGATATATAATATGTGCAATTATGTATGAATCTGTTTGTGGTTGTACACTACCCTTCAAAAGTTTAGCAATCCCAACTCTCCATTGGATAGACTGAAAAGCCTATTCATTTTTATTAAAATAAATTTTTGCCCTCAATATAATTTATAGTATTTATTTCATAATATGATGTATTGGACATAACAAAACAATTTGGCCTAAAATGATTTTGAATATTTTCTAAAATCGTCAAACATAATACAGCATTTCATAAAATAAAAATAAGTGTTTCCAAACTTTTGGAGGGCAGTGTATTTTAATCAGTAATTAGTATATTTGATCCCTCCATCGAATAAGGGTTATTATTATTTATATTGTGACTATTTACAATTTGCACCATGACTATTTATAATTTTATACATGAATTTATGACACGCATTATGATAAATGAATTAAACATCTGCGATAAGAAAAATAGTAGCCCTAACAAAGATTTGGTTATCTGAGGCTTTTCGTAGAGGAAAGGATCCATTGTTTCAATTTTAGGATGTGGAAATGGTACGATTTACCTCACTTTGAGCATTGGCTGACCAATCAGAATGCAATTTTTGTTTTTATGTCATTATTCGGAATATCTCATTGTAGCATACCTAATTTAAAACATCACAAGATTTGAATTTTTATGGGTCATGATGACCCACTAGGAATTTAATTCTGCTGTGTACTTCTTGACCTTTCTAAAAATATTCTCGGAAATCTGAGATAGTCTTAAACAACACATGACATACATGTATTAATTGAATGAAGTTTTCCTTTTGAGCATGTAGAGAAGTTGATAGTTGTAGATTGGTCCTGAATAATGTTGTTCCATGTTTTTGTTAGGAGTACTATATTATCACTGCCATATTTTATTAGGGGCACTATATTATAACACTGCCACATTCCTTAGTAAAAGGTTGCGGCAGTCATGATTTTATTTAGAAATAATAATACTGTAGAACGAACAGATGAGGTATTGCCGAGGTTATTAATTAACCGAGTTTTATATTTTAGTCCAAAGCATTGTATAGAAAAGACATCAATTATACATAGGATTAACCCCATCATTAAATTTCAAATTCCTGTATACTAGGAAATTTTCATCTGTTTAAAGGTTGACGCATATCGTTTAGCAAATCGAACGCTCGTTTTTGTTGTTGCTCACCGTTTAGTATAAAAGGCACGATCCGGGATAAAACTCAAGGGTATACCAGGTTTGAGGTCGTGGTGAAAACACCTCTGCCTGTTTTTGTAGCAATAGCATAGAATAGATCGTCATACATTTATAAAATAGAGATTTTTATTTTGACAAATCAATTTCACATTTTATTGGTGAAGTTTAGGACCTTCTATTTGTGAGTAATAGGAGAAATTGACATCTAAATTTACCCATCACGTATTAGCACACACAACATGGCTTATGAAATGTCCTACAAATGAAGCAAAGCATTTTGAATGAATACAAGGATTTATATTCGCTAATGTACATGCATCCTATGGATAATTCACTCTCTCAATGTTGACAGAACCATTGTAGAATATTATTTTATCTACAATACGATTTCAATAAACTAGAATTTACAAAACTCCCCTATTTCTTAAAAATGGACTGATCCAGTTGACTCGCCATATTGTTTTTGTCCGGGAAACTTGACGTAACCCTTTAAAGATATTGAGAATTAGTTATGAATTTAATAAGAAAAATATTTTATATTTGGCATTGCATAGTGATTTTACCGGAGTTTCGACCATATCAAATGAATGTCTTACTTTTAAAGTTGAACTTTAAACACAAATCTTAATTATACATGATTTTAGAGGACTTTGAAATGGTCAAAATTCTAATCTAAGGTGGAACACTGTTTATAAATGATACATAGACCATGTTCCACCTTAATGGTACAAATCTGTAAAGACAATACAACATAGTTTGATCATATTTGTTGTATTAAACAACCCAGTAAGAAAACATGTTTTTGGTTTGAATCTTTAATTGCATTTTATTCTCTTAAGTATCAACATGATACATTTGCTTAAATAATATGAATTAATACTTTAAAGTTCAATTGAATTAAATGCAAATCTGATCCTTAAAGGTCACAATTTATTTTTAGTATGATTTCTAGTATTGGCCAGTATGATGTCATTGATGAAAGATGTATTTATTTATGTTGTATTTTGTGGATATAAATAAACTGTGAGATGCTATTTCATCATGAGAATGTAGTTAATGTTACTTAGACTGGAATCGGGGTTCCAATCAGCCGTTAACTGATTTTTGAACACGGATTCTTCCTTTGGGAAATGCATCCTAGATCTGGCCTATATAAGGGACAAGGTCACTATATCTGAGTACATTCACAAATGCAATTAGTTATTTTCGTGAGAGTATGTCAAGTCTGTCGAATACAATTACAATTGATGAGACTGTACATTCATTTTTAAAGTGAAGAATTCTCTATTTTATAAAAACCAATGTAAAGAATTATTACCTTATTTAGAGGACAATATAAAATGTAAGTACTGGAATTCACATTTGATATTTTGGCCTGGGGCCCTGATATTGTAGGTTGTACATTTATAGAGTGGGGCAACTTTTTAGTATAACCTAGAATATCATATAGAAATTACATTTTAAGTTACGTACCTTAATTTAGCAGATGACCCAGTCAATTCATCTTACCTTGGTGATCAAAGATTCTTCCTTACATTTATGCAGTAAAATAAATCAAACACCAGAATAACAAATCAAATAATTTTCAATCATTTTTAAAATTTGGTTTAAATCTGGATTAGCTTTTTGAATATTTTGGGTGAATTGACATTTGACTTTCATGCTGAGTTAGTTGATGAAAACTGACCTATAAACTGAAGTATAATTTGAAATGAGATAAAGTAATATACAATGAAACTTGTTAAGTGGAACACCTTTAGAAGTGGAACATCTCTGATAGTGGAACACTTTCTAATGGAACACTTTCTAATGTTAAATGAACATCTATAAGTGAAACACCTCTTGGAAGGAGCACTGCTACTTTTTAGAGGTATAAAAGGTGTTCCACTTTGACAGGTTTTACTGTGTTGAAATCTGTAGAAACTGTATAATGGATTGAGCCAATTTACATGACTTTGAAATGTGGATCAAGAAAATTAAGGGTAATTAGGAAAATAGGTCTAACAAATCAAATTATTTCAAATATAACATTTTTGACTGATGCTTGTTTGAAGTATATGTCATCTGCCCTTCAAATGACCCTTCTTTGTTCAAACAATGGGTAATTGGAAGCAAACCCTTGCTTGCATTTTGGAATAATCTAGAACATTCTAGGAATTCTTAAGGAAATTGTGTTTTCTAAATGCATCTGTTTATTTTTAGGACATTTTAACTGAATTTCAATTTTTACGATATCTGTTACCAGGACTTGGGTATGGACTTAGCTGAAATAAATGTTTTACTTTTTATTCAAGGTTTGACCAGTGGTCAGTCTGTACATCCCTTCAAATTATTTCATTCAGTACATTTTTCCCTATTAAGACCTTCTGAAATGTTTCGACTTTTTCAATGACTTTGCATTCAATTTTGGCATAACGATGGTGTGGCACACTCTGAGGACAGACATCTTAATTCCTTCACAATTGTTCAAAGGAAATACATGAATATTTATTCAACTTTTGGAAGGGTGACAATAGGCACATGGCATCACCTTCTAATAAGACTAGATTATCTGATTAATAAGCTTTCTAACCTCAACATGCCAATGAATTGTTTTCTATGGGTCCCTTCAGATATCTGAAATCTTAATTTTCTATATTCCTGAACATTCATTGAATGCTGCATAATGTAAATCACTTAGTGATGAGCTTTCACTTAGCGATGACCTTGACCATCCCATAATATCCCAAGAGTACATTGAACCTAGATAGAACCTGGATATGTATTTCATGGCTCATTGGTGAGAGGTTATATTGATTGGAGAATTCATAATGGGTCTACAAACTGAATATTTCTGAAAAAACATGACTGACCTTCATTTTAGATCTCCCTATAACAAAAAAATGCGATAATAATATTCGATAATACATTTCAGTATCGATCGTATCCCGATACTTTGAGAGCAATGAGAAATGTTAAATATTGCTTTCGCTGTTGAGGAAATATTTCACGTAATAATGTCCAGGCCCGATCGTACTAAGGCTCATATATGAGTCAAATTGAATCCAGTGGTTTTTGTATTACACTAGAGGTTTTAAGCCAATATTCAAGGTCAATTCACTATGCCAAACTGGCGATCTAATCGATGAGAATGAGGAACTGGGAGTCGCAAAAGAGCAGTTGGGGACTGAAATTGCCACTGAAAAATACCATTTTTATTAAATCGCCTAATTATTACATTATACCTCCCCATTCACTAAATGTCACATTTTAGGTATATTTGGTCAAAGACCTGAATGTGTGAATTCATTTATCTCAGTCAATATGTCAAATTATTTGTGAGTCAACCATGCTTGGCAATATGCTAATAGTTTATACTGTATATCAAATCCAAAACTGTGCTTAACAACCCAGGGACATTTCTTAAGATGCTGTTTAAGATTTCCTTTTAATGAAATCACAATGTGAAAAATGATTGTATAAATAAAGGCCAACGCTTAAAATGTTATAAAAAATAATTTTGGCGCGTGGCAGATCTGAACTTTCTTTGAAAAAAGGTCACGAGAGTTCGGGTTAAAAAAATTACAAATGTTCGAATTGAAAAATTAATGTGTTCTTTTGTGTTTGAAACATAGTTCTAAAACGTTTGGAATCCTGTTTATCTATACAAAGTTATTTAAGTCAAACACTAGCAATTTGAATAATGCAAACAAGAAAAATATTATTCATTCATAAATATTTCAATGTTTGCAAGAGCACAAAAGAGAGTAATTCGAAACCAAAAATAAAGGTACACCCTATAAATAATTAACTAATCTTAAAAACGCAACATGACAAATCCTTTATACAATCAGACCAATATATATTATAAAAAATCTACTTTCTTATTTTTGTCATATATTATACAATACAGTACAATTTCACCCAAAGTGAGCATAAAAATCACTGAAAGCAACTTTTATAATGCCACCTATAATATGTGCATCACTCAGATATGAATTCTTGCATCCATATATCCCATAATTGTCCATATACTAGTATCCCATAATTATCCATATATCCTATAATTTTGTTGTGTCCCATAACAAAATATAATGTTACAAGAGATTAGACCATTTGATTGAAAAATTAATTTTAATGTTATTAAAGGTATACTCTGACTTAGAGGTAGTGAAAAATGTGAAATATACAAACAAATATATTTGCATTCCAAAAAATCTAAACTTTTGAAAAAGTGCCTCTGCGTCTGATTATCTCTTTAAGAACTACATGATTCTAAACTATACATTTCAAATTAATACATCCTTAATTCAGTTTAAATTCTGTGCATTTGAAGCTTGAGACCAAAAGTTGAGGTACGTTATTGTGATAAACAGTACATCTGAGGTACAATACATGTTTATAAAATACATGTGAGGTACATGATAATATTACACATGTTTGAGGTACATGTTTGAAATGACACCATTATGTACACCTAAAAATGTTGTTTTTGTTTACATTTGACACTTTCTTGACACTTTTCATGTAAAGACGCATGTTTGACATTATAAGGGTACATGTTTAGTATTGTTTACATGGAATATCAAAAACACCATGATATGTTAAGACAACCATGAGGTACATAATTCTAATCACGCCATTAATTCTAATTGGTACATCATACATATGACATCATAAGGTACACTTACATATGACATCATAAGGTACATTTACACATGACATCATAAGGTACTTTTACATATTTCATAACATCAGAAGGTATGGCATATGACACTATGAAGTATACCACACATATGACATCATGAAGTACATTTACATGTGACATCATAAGGTATGACTATTGACACCATAAGGTACATTTACATATTTCTTGACATCATAAGATATGACATATGCTACTATGAAGTATACCATATAGATGACATCATAAGGTACACTTACATATGACATCATAAGGTACACAAAAATATAACACCATGAAGTACAACCTATGCATGATGTTTGACAAATGACAGCTACATATGACACCATACACATGGCATATGGTACCATGAAGCCGACTATACATATGACACCATGAGGTATGCCTTCATATGTCTAGGAGGAATATATTTATATTACACATGGGTGTGTTACATTTAGCAAGAAGCCATAACTGAGTAAAGAGGAATATTGCAAAGACTAAATATTCCCTGAGTATTGGTACATTAAGTTAACACCAAGAACATAATGCTTACATAAAGAACATAAGGCTTACACAATGGACATAATGCTTATTCCATAAACATAATGATTATACCTTAGACATAATGCTTACACAAAGGACATAAGCTTGCTATACAAATATAAGCTTACAATATGAACATAAGGCATACATCATGTATGTATGGTTGATCACAAAAGGAACATTATGCTTATACTCAAAGTACATAAGGCTTATATCATGAACATAATGCTTTCACAATGTACTTTAACATCTTATTGATTTAGTGCAACCATGCAACACCTTTACAATTATCACTATATGTCATATACACTAATATGTGCATATAACTGACATACAAGTGCACACTAATATATGAAAGCTATAGGCATTTTATCAGTGTGGTACATGGTTGACTGCATCACAGTACTGGAGTTGTACATTAACATAAGTGCTACATTTTTCACAAATAATCCAAATGCCATTTTAAACCATGAACTTTCCATTATGAGCAGTCATGAAGTTCATAGATTTAACCATCACAGAGAACGCTACCATAGTTTTAGGATTTATACCAATTGTTTTAGGATTTTCCCATATTTCTAGGTTTGTCCCATGAGGTGATTTGTTGCCATGAGAGCAGATGTGAAAGTCCAATGATTAGCTATGATGTCATAATAGCAAATGGGGCATCATGGATTTATTTATGCGACTTCAATTAAACACATTACAACATCTTATGTCATCCACCCCCCATACAGGGTTACAATACAAACTACTACCCCTGTTAGGAGATGGACTAAAATACACCCTCCCTCCAGAAATTAATTACTCCTAAATTGTAAAGAATTTTACTCCCTAAAGTTATTTTCTATTGTTCTACACCTGGAGGCAACACGGATGAATAATTAACTGGATTAGAAACTAACCCGTAAGACATTTATCCGTGTTGCCAATGTTATAATTACACCATATTGTTCTAATCTCCCTAATTCCACATCTCATTAAA